TGGGTTCAAGCTGTTCTCTTGGTTTAGCCTCCCGAGTAGCTGGGATTACAGGTGACCGCCACCATGCCCGGCTAATTTTTTTTTGTATTTTTAGTAGAGATGGGATTTCACCATGTTGATCAGGCTGGTCTCGAACTCCTGACCTCAGGTGATCTGTCTGCCTTGGCCTACCAAAGTGCTGGGATTACGGGCATGAGCCACCATGCCCAACCTTCTTTTTTAAATTTTATTTTATTTACTTTTTACTTTAAGTTCTGGGATACATGTGCAAAACGTGCAGGTTTGTTACATAGGTATACGTGTGCCATGGTGGTTTGCTGCACCCATCAACCCATCACCTGGGTTTTAAGCTCTGTATGCATTAGGATGTGTCCTGATGTGCTCCCTCCCCTCCTACCGCTGACAGGCCCTGGTATGTGTTGTTCCCCACCCTGTGTCCATGTATTCTCATTGTTTAACTACCACTTATGAGTGAGAACTTGCAGTGTTTGGTTTTCTGTTCCTGTGTTAGTTTGTTGAGGATGATGGCTTCCAGCTTCATCTATGTCTCTGCAAAGGACATTATCTCATTCCTTTTTGTGGCTGCATAGTATTCCATAGTGTATATGTACCACATTTTCCTTATCCAGTCTATCCTTGATGGGCGTTTGGGTTGGTTCCATGTCGCTGCTATTGTGAATAGTGTTCCAGTAAACATATGTGTGCATGTATCTTTATAATAGAATGATTTATATTCCTTTGGGTATATATCCAGTAATGGGATTGCTGGGTGAAATGCTATTTCTGGTTCTAGATCCTTGCGAAATCGCCACACTGTCTTCCACAATGGTTGAACTAATTTACATTCCCACCAACAATGTAAAAGTGCACCTATTTCTGCAGCCTCACGAGCATATGTTGTTTCTTGGCTGTTTAATAATCGCCATTCTGACTGGTGTGAAATGGTATCTCATTGTGATTTTGACTCGCATTTCTCTAATGATTAGTGATGTTGAGCTTTTTTCATATGTTTCTTGGCTGCATAAATGTCTTTTGAGAAGTGTCTGTTCATATCCTTTGCCTACTTTTTGATGTTGTTGTTGTTGTTGTTTTTCTCCTGTAAATTTGTTCAAATTCTTCATAGATTCTGGATATTAGGCTTTTGTCAGATGGGTAGATTGCGAAAATTTTCTCCCATTCTGTAGGTTGCCTGTTCACTCTGATGATAGTTTCTTTTGCTGTGCAGAAGCTCTTCAGTTTAATTAGATCCCATTCATCAATTTTAGCTTTTCTTGCAATTGCTTTTGGCAATTCCTTCCTTCCTTCCTTCCTTCCTTCCTTCCTTCCTTCCTTCCTTCCTTCCTTCCTTCCTTCCTTCCCTCCTTCTTTCCTTTCTTTCACGGAGTCTTGCTCTGTCCCCAGGCTTGAGTGCAGTGGTACCATCTCAGCTCACGCCAAGCTCTGCCTCCCAGGTTTATGCCATTCTCCTGCCTCAGCCCCCCAAATAGCTGGGACTACAGGCGCCCACCACCATGCCCGGCTAATTTTTTGGCTTTTTAGTAGAGACAGGGTTTCACTGTATTAGCCAGGACAGTCTCAATATCCTGACCTCGTGATCCACCCACCTCAGCCTCCCAAAGTGCTGGGATTACAAGTGTGAGCCACTGCACCCGGCCTGCTTTTGGCAATTTCATCATAAAATCTAAGTCCATGCCTATGTCTTGAACAGTATTGCCTAGATTTTCTTCTAGGGTTGTTATGGTTTTGGGTTTTGCATTTAAGTCTTTAATCCACCTTGAGTTAATTTTTGTGCAAGGAAGGGGTCCAGTTTCAGTTTGCTGCATATGGCTAGCCAGTTTTCCCAGCACCATTTATTAAATAGGGACTCCTTTCCCTATTGCTTGTTCTTGTCAGGTTTGTCGAAGATTAGATGGTTCTAGATGTGTGATCATATTTCTGAGGTCTCTGTTTTGTTTCATTGGTCTATATGTCTGTTTTTGTACCAGTACCGTGCTGTTTTGGTTACTCTAGCCTTGTAGTATAGTTTGAAGTCAGGTAGTGTGATGCCAGCTTTGTTCTTTTTGCTTAGGATTGTCTTGGCTATGTGGGCTCTTTTTGTTTCCATATGAATTTTAAAGTGTTTTCTTTCTAATTCTGTGAAGAATGTCAATGGTAGTTTGATGGGAATAGCATTGAATCTGTAAATTACTTTGGGCATTATGGACATTTTCATAATATTGATTCCTCCTATCTGTGAGTATAGAATCTTTTTCCATTTGTTTGTGTCTTCTGTTATTTCCTTGAGCAGTGGTTTGTAGTTCTCCTTGAAGAGGTCCTTCACATTCCTTGTTAGCTGTATTCCTAGGTATTTTATTATCTTTGTAGCAATTGTGAATGGGAGTTCATTTATGATTTGGCTCTCTGCTTGTCTATTGTTGGTGTATAGGAATGGTTGTGAATTTTGCACATTGGTTTTGTATCCTGAAGCTTTGCTGAAGTTGCTTACTAGCTTAAGGAGTTTTTGGGCTGAGACAATGGGGTTTTCTAAATATACAATCATGTCATCTGCAAACAGGAGACAATTTGATTCCTGTCTTTTTATTTGAATACCCTTTATTTCTTTCTCTTGCCTGATTGTCCTGGCCAGATATTCCAATACTATGTTGAATAGGAGTGGTGAGAGAGGGCATCCTTGTCTTGTGCTGGTTTTCAAAGGGAATGCGTCCAGCTTTTGCCCATTCAGTGTGATATTTAGCTTTGTCATAAATAGGTCTTATTATTTTGAAATATGTTCCATCAATACCTAGTATATTGAGAATTTTTAACATGAAGTGATGTTGAATTTTTTTTTTTTTGAGACGGAGTCTTGCTCTGTTGCTCAGCCTAGAGTGCACTGGCACGATCTCTGCTCACTGCAACCTCTGCCTCCCAAATGTAAGCGACCCCAGCATCCTGAGTAGCTGGAATTGCAGGCACCTGCATTTTTCAGCTCCATCAGGTCATTCATGTTCCTCTATAAACTGGTTATTCTAGTTAGCAGCTCCTCTAACCTTTCATCGAGGTTCTTAGTTTCTTTGCTTTAGGTTAGAACATACTCCTTTACCTCAGCAAAGTTTGTTTTACTCACCTTCTGAAGCCTACTTCTGTCAATTTGTCCATCTCATCCTCTGTCCAATTCTGTGCTCTTGCTGGAGAGATGTTGCAATCATTTGGAGGAGAAGAGGCACTCTGGCCTTTTGGGTTTTCAGTATTGTTTTGATTGATTCTTTTTCATCTTCATGAGTTTTTCTAGTTTCAATCTTTGAGACTGTTGACCCTTGGATGTGGTTTTTGTGGGGACTCTTTTTCTTGTTGATGCTGTTCTTGTTGCTTTCAGTTTGTTTGTTTGTTTTTCTTTCAATAGTCAGGTCCCTCTTCTGTGGGGCTGCTGCAGTTTGCTGAGGGTTCACTTCCGGCCCTATTCATCTGATTCGCTCCTGTGCCTGGAGATGTCACTCGAGGAGGCTGGAGAACAGCAGATGGGTGCCTGCTCCTTCCTCTGGGATTTCTGACCTCGAGGGACACTGACCTGATGCCAGTAGGAACGCTCTTGTATAGGATGTCTGACAGCCCCTGTTGGGGGGGAGGTCTCACCCAGTTGGATGGCATGGAAAGCAAGACCTGTTTAAGGAGGCACTTTGGCTATCCTTTGGTGGAGGGGGGTGTACTGTGCGGGGTGGGGGTGGAGGCTGGGAAACCCACTTGTCTGGGCTGGCCGCATTCCTCAGAGCTAGCAGGAGGAAAGACTAAGTCTGCTTGTCTGTGGAGACTACAGCCACCCCTCCCGCTAGGGGCTCAGACCTAGGGGGATCAGAGTTCTGTCCCTGAGTCCCAGTATGGAGTTGGAGTTCCTGGAGGGAGGCCCTGCAGCCCCACTGTTGGCTGCTGCCCCTCGCCCAAGGAGCTCAGATGGCTTAGACTGTAGGCAGCTGCAGCAGTGGTGATGGCTGCCCTCCCACTGTGAACTCAGCAGGCTTACTTAGGTAGATTTTAGCCCAGTGGCTGTTGAGAATCTGCATGCCTCCATTGAGACTCAAGGCCCTGGTGGCGCGGGCTCCCGAGTGGGATTTTCCGATTTGTGGGTTGCAGTTTTCTGGAAAAAACATGGTTTCTCAGGCTTGCTAGCATCCTCACCCATTGCTTCCCTTGGCTGGGGGTGGGGGTTCGCCGGACCCACGTGGCCCTTAGGTGGGTCGCTGCACCATACTGTCCTTCCTTCCTCTCCGTGGGTCACGCCAGCTGCCTAGTCAGTCCTAATGACAGAACCTGGATACCTCAGCTGCCGGGGCAGAAATCGCATGCTGTTTCGGATCTTTTCGATGGGAGCCTCCGATTGCCGCTGCTTCTATTCAGCCATCTTGACCCCACCCCCAAAGCATTTATTTTCCTCTTTTTTTGTTCTGTCCAGGTGTGTGTCATGATTAGTTTTTGTCATTAAAAAATTGAATCATGTCCTGAGCTGCCCATGTGTCTTCTTTTTCTCAAGAGTTCAGCAACCCCCTCACCCCCATGTTCCAAGACAGAGGGATATATATTTTAATGATGACCTCCTGGCCCGGCGCAGTGGCTCAGGTCTGTAATCCCAGCCCTGTGGGAAGCCGAGGCAGGTGGATGACTTGAAGCCAGGAGTTTGAGACCAGCCTGGCCAACATGGCGAAACCCTGTCTCTGCTAAAAATACAAAAATTAGCCGGGCGTGATGACGCACACCTGTAATCCCAGCTACCCGGGAGGCTGAGGCAGGAGAATTGCTTGAACCTGAGAGGCAGAGGTTGCAGTAAGCCGAGATCTAGCCGCTGCACTCCAGTCTGGGTGACAGAGTGAGGCTCTGTCTCAAAATAAAACAAAACAAACAAAAATTATGACCTCATGGCAACGTTTCCAATTCTAATTTACTAATACAGATTTTTTTCCTTAACTTGCTTAATTTTATAGTTGTATACCCTTTTCTCTTACACTGTAAAGCTTAATTTCTTTTTTTTTTTTTTTTTACTTTTTAAGAAATTAATTTGAGTTCAAATATTTTTGAAATATGAAAATTGGTTGTATTTTTTAAAGCTATAATTCTTGTAGACATTCTGTGGTTAAAAATTTGATTGTGCTTATTAAAAATGGTCATCTATGTTTTGCACTTCAGCTACGTGAAAATAAAGTTTCTTTGGGAAGGTGACATTTGGCTTCCTGATTACGGGAAGGAGCTGGTTATCTCAGGTGGCACAGGAAAGCCTGGTTGATTCTCACACCAGGATGGGACTGTGACTTCCCAGGATGGAGGGAGGAGACCATTGCTACACCAAACTTTGAGTTACTGACAGCAAAACCCTCCCACCATACTGGGTGCATCTTGTGTACACTTGGCTGACATACATTTCTGATTTACAGCAGAAGGTTCAGAGGCGAATTCAGTTCTCCTTTGGCATGCCACTGGATAACAAGATAGTGAGAGGGGCAGTGTGTACAAGCTGTGGACACGGGCATTTCCTCTCTGTTGCAGCAAGGCGGAGGAAAGCCCAGGGAGAGTAAAACGCTAGAATCTTCCTAATAGCTTTGCCCTACACCACGGTCTAAATGATTATGGCCAAGTGGCTACACAGTATTTTATTTTTCTAGAATTATATCCAGCTGTGAGAAAGCCAGGTTCAAATTTGAATCCTTTAATTAATAACCTGTCCCAGAATTACTAACAGTGAGACTTAAACAAATTTTGATTTGTGAAGAAAACATGAAAAAAGTCCAAAAGAAACTCCCTCAGAGGGCCCAAGTGTCAACGGTTCCCCTGTGGAGCAGCTCATCCATTTCTCAAGTGGGGGTCCTCCGGCAGGCAGCTTCCTCTGTGGCGCCAGGCGAGTCCAGAGTGGACCGGCTCCTTTAGGAGTCGGGCAGGCCAGGCAGAGGGAAGAGAGAGGCGAAGCTCTCAGCCTCCTCCCGGAGAGCCTGCACGGCCCCCTGGTACTTATCCCCTGCCAGTCTCTCCTTGAACTCCTTCAGGGTGGCTCTGACACCAATATCGCTCTGGATCTGCAGGGTCAGCTCTATCCCTCTGTGAATAAACTGGGCTACTTTTTGGAAGTCTTTTTCCAAAAGTCCGCGAGACATCAGTGCTGGGGTCCCCAGCCGCAGTCCACTGGGCCGCAGAGCACTTCTGTCACCTGGGTGTTCTTGTTGCAGGCAATAGAACAGGCTTCTAGCACCTTCTCAGCCCTTCCACCGTCTGTGCCTTTGGAACGGAGATCCACGAGGATCAAATGGTTGTCAGAACCACCTGTGACTATTTTGTAGCCCAGCTCCATCAGTGCCTCAGACAGAGCCCTGCAGTTGGCCACCACCTGGTGCTGATAAACTTTAAATTCCAGAGTCATAGCTTGCTTCAGGGCCACAGCAACCCCAGCAATGGCGTGGTTGTGGGGACCTCCCTGCAGGCGAGGGAACACAGCAGAATTGATAAGGGACTCCAGGTTGTACAGAATCTCTTTGCCAGTCTTGGGATCCACACTTTTCACTCCTTTCCTGTAGAAGATCATGCCAGCTCGGCAGCCTCGCAGGGTCTTGTGAGTAGCTTAATTTCTAATTACGTGAACATATTTTATAATTTGCTTTATCTTTCAATATATAGAACAATGTTTCAAAATTGCCATGCCAGGTTTCCTACCAATAACAAATCTATTGAGTGAAGTTGAAGGTTTATTGCCTTATTTCATCTTTAGGCTACATCCTTGGGACGAAATGTCAGAGCACCTACTTCCCTGTTTTTTTTTCAAAATGACTTGGGATAATTATTTCTCTTTGTGGTTAGTTCACCAATTTGACATAATTAGATGCATTCACTTTACTTTGTTTTCAATTGTAGGATGTGCTTTTTAACTGTGATTGATCTTGTGAATATATACAATTTTTACATATGTTAAAAATCAGAAATAGAGTAAAAGGTATCCTCAGAAAAGTCTTGTTTTCATCCTTATCTTCTACACTTCAATCTCCACATCCTTTTTTGTAAGAATTTTTAGTTTGGATTATTTGTCTAACATTTGCTTTTTGTCCCCTTCAAAATTGGGCAAATAATAGAGATTCTTCTTTTCTTTTCTTTCTTACACCAACAAAATGGCATGATATACATTGCTCTGCACCTTTGGCAAAGATGTAAAGCTTACTTTTTTTTTTCTTCTTAATTTTATTTGGAGCATTTCAATTATATATAGAAGTATATATGACCTCTTCATGGGACTCATGGAAGGGTTGGCTCATTTACTCAACCCACAACTCTCAACCCCTTGCAGGATAGGGAGCATGCACATGAGCGAGTGCAGAGGCCAGGACAAGCACCCTGGGCAACCGGCCCACGACTCCTGGAGCCCCAGAGGGCATGAGTTACAGCGTGCTCTCTTAGTCTTGCCATCTGTGGTTGGCTTTAAGTGTTAGACAGCTCAGTGGGGGGCGGAGAGTCAGTGTGACAGCCTCTTGCACTTGCATCCAGGTCCTTGTCTGGTGTCTAGGAGGAATCAGGTCGTATGAACAAATTGAAGATGGTAAATGCGGAGAATTTTATTGAGTAGTGGAAGTGGCTCTCAGCAGGATGGGGAGCTGGAAAGTGGATGGAGGGGGAAGGTGGTCTTCCCCTGGAGTTCAGCTGTCCACGACCAAACTTTTCTCTGAGGTCCTACCATCAAGCTGTCCCTCTGAAGTCAAACTGCTTCTCACCAATGTCAAGCTGCTGCTTCTCTTCTCTACTTCTCTGCCATGTTGCTCTGCCATTCCACCGGTGGGACCTGGGGTTTTTATGGGTGCAGAAAGGGGGTGGGGCAGGACAAGGTGGTTTTGGAAAAGGCAACATTCATTTGGGAAAACAGGAATGCATGTTCTCACTTTGGGCCAAGGGTCTAGGTTTGAGGGTGGAGCCCTCACCAGGGACCCCACCCTTTTCTACCTAGTATTTCCCTGCCTCCTGTCCACATCAATATTACCACCAACTATGTACAAGTATTCCATTTTCTCCACATCCAGCCAACACTTATTTTCTACTTTTTCTTTTGGAAAGTAGTCACCATAGTGAACATGAAGTGGCATTTTATTGTAGTTTTGAGTTGTATTTATCTAATGATTAGTGATATTAAGCTTCTTTTAATGTGCTCATTGACTTTTTAAAAATTTATCATTATTATTCTTTTAGATGGAGTCTCACTCTGTTGCCACCAGGCTGGAGGGCAGTGGTGTGATCTCTGCTCACTGCAACCTCCACCTCTCGGGTTCAAGTGATTCTCCCACCTCATCCTCCTGAGTAGTTGGGACCACAGGCACCCACCACCATGCCCATCTAATTTTTGTACTTTTAGTAGAGATGGGGTTTCACCATGTTGACCAGGCTGGTCTTGAACTCCTGAGCTCAAGTGATCCACCTGCCTCAGCCTCCCAAAGTGCTGGCATGAGCCCCTGTGCCCAGCCTCATTGGACACATTGGTGGCCATTTGTATGTCTTTGGAAAAATGTCTATTCAAGTCCTTGTCTATTTTTGAATTAGATTGGTTGTTTTACTGTTGCTGAGTATTAGGGGTTCTCTGTATATTCTGGATATCAGTACTTTATCAGGCATCTGAGTTGCAAATATTTTCTGTCATCCTATGGGTTGTCTATTTACTCTGTTGGTAGTGTCTTTTGATGCACAAATTAAAAAAAAATTTCATGAGATGCAGTTTGTCTATTTTGTTGTTGTTGTTGTTGCCTGTGCGAGAAAAGAAACTGTCAAATCCAATGTTTTGAAGTTTTTCCCTGTGCTCCAGCCCCATATTATTTTATTTTGCTGTTTTGAGAGGGAGTCTTGCTGTGTCACTCAAGCTTGAGTGCAATGGTGTGATCTCAGCTCACTGCAACCTCTGCCCCCTGGATTCAAGAGATTCTCTTGCCTCAGCCTCCTGAGTAGCTGAAATGACAGGTGACTGCCACCATGCCCAACTGATTTTTGTATTTTAGTAGTGATCTGCCAGCCTTGGCCTCCTAAAGTGCTGGGATTACAGGTATGAGCCACTGCACCCGGCCCTCATATTTTTTTGAAGTAAATCTCATATATATCATTTCATATTTAATCATAAATAAGTCAACAAAACTCTAAAATTTAAGAATTCCTTTTCAATACTTAATATCTATTTATCTATCTATCCATCTATCTACCTGAAAACCACAATACCTTTATCAAACTTAGACATTAGCCATTTCTTAATATGACAAAACATCCAGCAAACATTCAAATGTCTAATTATGCAGCTGACTCTGTTTGGGTACTTTAGAGTCCCTGTCACTGAAGCTTTCTCAACTGCAGTCCTTAATACAGGCTAATACATTTGTGCTTCGATGGTGGATTAATCCTTCCTTTAGCAACGTGGAATCTGGTGAAGCCCTTAGTATCTCTTTGCTGAGGTCTGTTAGCCCTATGAGAGACCTCACTAACAGATTCTAAGATAATCCCACGCTGGCTTTTGTACACACACCTACATCAAGTCCACAGGGAACGCTGCCGCACCCTTTGCTCTGGAAATTCTGAGATTTTAGGCTATCCAATGTCATATTCCCTCCTTTGGCTTCTCCTCTAGACAGTGCTTCTCTCACCCCTCAGATTTCTCAGGTGAGAGCATTATTCCCCAGGGCAGCCCCCCGCACTGTAGGGACATATTATATGCTCTCCAAGTGGTTCCTTGGAACCCTCTCACTAGGCTTGGAATGAGAGTACTGGTTTATGCCTTTTATGTAAGTGAGAGGTATAGAAATGTCTGCACAGAGCTTATTCTGAGTTGTAGAGATGGCCTGTTTCACAGCTGTCTCTGCTGTCTGATGGCTCTTGGCTTTGTCCTCAGCAGAGTTGTCCATTTTAACATCCTCTTACATACGCAACCACCCATTTGGGCAATTCAATTTTTATTTGAGTTGAATGAAGTGATATCTTTATTTTTCACAGTGGCACACAAAGGTGGCCAAATCTGAAGACTGATAAATGTTACATTTTCTTAAATATTGCGTTCTTCAACTTCTGGTTTGTGAATCCTATGAATTTGCAAATAAAGCACTTAGCAGGCATTAAAGTATCTGTTATGTGGTTTGACACTTCATTTTGCAATCCAGCCAGCTTTTCTCTTTCAAGGGAGCCCAGAACCTGGCTGCAGTTTGTCCAGGCTTGTAGAAACTTCAGTTCTCCCATCATGTGCCTTATTCTTACACATTGAGTTTCTGATCTCAGTTTGATAGCATTTTATATTTGATGGAGAGGAGCACTTTCATATTTTGCCTTCTTGCATCTAAATATAAATAAAATATTTATATTTAAATAAAAAATATTTAAATAAGATTACGATTACTTTCTGCAAAAATGCCTCCCAAATGCATTGGTTACTGTTGTTTCTAGATAATTTGTGAGGTCTCCACATGGACAGGTCAAGTCACTGGTTAGTTTTACATTCTTGTGGTATAAAGTTTAGTTTCCACAGTATATTTCTACAAGGGCTTATCAGCATTATCATCAGCTTTCTTTTCCATTCATAGAAACACTCTGAAATGTACATTTTCTGTAATGAGAATTAGTGGTTGCTTAGAAAATTTTTGCCTTCAGGCAAAAGCTTTTAACAGATAACCCATATGGCAAGAAAGTGCATAAAAAGAGAACTGGATTAGGACTCAAGAGACCTGAACTAAAGTTAAAGAATGCTTGTAAGGAACTATAAAGCAATGCTGTTATTCTAATTTTTAATGTTATTTTAATAGTTTTAAATCTTTTCTGCATAAGCATATTCTTTTCCAGAGTGCTCCAATATATGTATTATTGATAATTAATACAAAGAAATAATCCCATAATTTGCCTAAGGCTTTGTAGTTTTCAAAGTACTTTCATAGATATAAAAGCCCAGAAAGTTAAAAAGTCTAATATTTTTTAAGAGAAAAAATGTTTATAGATTATATCAACTTAGTTGAACATTCTCCTTTTTTAAAGAATGAAAAAAAGAGCTAGTCATGGTGGCACTCTTCTGTAATCTCAGCTACTCAGGAGGCTGAGACAGGAAGATTGCTTGAGCCCAGGAGTTCAAGACAGACTAGCCCAGGCAATATACCAAGACCTCGTTTAAAAAAAAAGTCCAATACAACATTATAGAGATATACAACATAAAAATGAAAATTATCTGTAGCTACTTTATTAACCATTGCTTATCATTTGGTATTAATTTCCACAGTATTTATTTTTCCAAACATGTGTTTGTAGTGTTTTTCTCTTTTTTAAGCTAAGAAAGAACCATATTATCCAAGCTGTTTTATACCTTTTGTTCCATATATCAATTGGTTTTGAATGTCTTCCCATGTTTACATTATGTCAAATTGACTTCATCTTGTAAATTCCTGTACAATATGTCATTCAGTCAATCATTTATTGATAGACTTTTAGATTGTTCCCAATATGTCCATAATATGAGTAATGCTGTAAGAATATTATCAGACACATATCTTTGGATCTTCTGCATGTACATCTGAAAAATAAATTCCTGTTTAGCATAGCCGTGTCAAAAACTAAGAACATTTTCAAATTTGAGATGCATTTCCAAATTGTCTTCCAAAAAAGGCTGTATCAATTTTCCTTTCACCAACAGTGAATAAAGAGAGTTAGACAAATTAATATTCTTATCGTCTATTTCCACATGGGTAGAATGAGTGGGCTGGACTCTATGCATTTATATTCTAATTGCTTGATTGTCTCCTAAGGGCAGGTACTACGATTTGCTTGACACTAAATTCTTAGTGGGCAGAACATTGCTGGGCACATAGTAGGTCACCAATAAATATCTGCTAAACGAACTGATTTGTAGATTACTCCCAATCTTGTGTTTTATGCGTAAATGGTAATGGTAATGTCAATGATATATTTTAGTGTTCTTTCTTGGATGGCTAAATCTGAAGTAGCATGAACTGCTGGCAATTGGTAATCAGGATGGCTCCTAATTTTCTAAAGTTCTTATTTAGTCTTTTTCAATTTGATAATATAGTAGGTCGAAAATAAAACTGTGCCCCAATTCTTTCACAGGGGTAGGCAAATGATCAAGAAACTCCTTTTCTGCACTATAGTGAAGAGGTAAACAAATTCCATATTCCAGAAGATCTTCAGGCTGCTGCACCTCCATCTCATAAAAAATTTTTCCAGGCACTTTTACAATTTTTTTTTTTTTTTTGAGGCAGGGTTTCACTCTGTCGCCCAGGCTGGAGTACAGTGGCATGATCACAGCTCACTGTAGCCTTGACTTCCTGAGCTCAGGTGATTCTCCCACTTCAGCTTCCTGAGTAGCTGGGCCCACAGGTGTGCACCAGCAAGCCTGGCTAATTTTTGTATTTTTTGTAGAGATGGGGTTTCGCCATGTTGCTCACGCTGGTCTTCAACTTCTGGTTTCAAGCGATCCTCCCATCTTGGCTTCCCAAAGTGTTGGGATTACAGGCATGAGCCACAGCACCTGGCCACTTATTAAAAAAATTTTAATAGAACGTCCTCTGTTCTTACTGACAGTTTTAGGTTTTCATACCTATTCCTCTCCAAAATAACTATGTCTTGGCTTTTCACGAGAATTTCTAAGAGTATATGGTAGAAATACAAGCCAGCAACGATATTTTCTTAGCTGAACATGGGAAAAATTGTAAGAAGGGAAGGTTGTGCTGGAATTGCTAGGTCAAATCGGTAATGGTAAAAAGATTTTATGACTTGGAGCTCAATATAGAGTATTTTCTTCCACTTTCAACTTTTCTATTACCAGAAGTTAAAATACAGTACGTCGGAAAATGTGTGACATCGGGATCGGGTAGGCTTGGGTTCAAAATGTTGGTTCTGCCACTGAGCAGTTCTGAGTCAGAGTATGTCCATTTTCTCCCCTATAAAATGGAGAAAATTATGATATCTACTAATGAAGATTTTAATGAAAATCGATCCAGTTCCTCCTTGAGATCTCAATGTAGTCATCGTCTCCTCTAAGAAAGTATTCTTGACTCCCTTCTCTCAAAAGGTAAAGTAAAATATCTTTTGTCTGTGCAAATTGCCACCACTCCCCACCTACTTCCCACTCCACATCAGAATTCTATGCTATCGCTGCATTTCTTATTGTATTAAAATTGCATCTGTATATGCCTGTCACTCCCACTAGACTGTGAGAAATTTATAACTCATATCTCTAACACTTAATAGGGAATCTGCCTATCAAAAGTATAGTCTTAAGAAATGTTTGTTGAGTGAATGAATGACATATTTCAAGTACTTGCACCATACTTAAAACACTGGAAACATCAAATAATGTGTTCTTTTTTGACTTCTATCATAAATAGGGGCCTGAAAGTTTTATTAAAAACATTCAACTCTTGCCCATGATGCTGTAACTAAGAACTATAAGGTTAGGACTGTTTTTTTGACTCATTCTAGGTAATTAGATACACTGATGGGCATGGTTCATGGAAGGTTAAGATTTAACAAACTTGATGAATAACAGGATGAAAATTTCTTTGAACCTTTAGCCATAGCCTATGCACATGCATCCAGAAGGAAAATTAATTGTTTGGCCCTTTGTTCATATTTTTTGTAAATAAATAACTTGGCAGTGTTGATTTAGATCATCAAAGCAATGTATTGGCGATCTTTTTCATTTGTCTCAGCTGCCTTTTTTCATTGCATTACAAATGATGTTAATTCTGTGCTTAATTATGCTTAACATAGTTTATAGGCAATCCAGTGTTTATCAGTTGGACATAGCAAAAATTCTGTTGTTTTCTTTCCATCTTACTTCTGCTTATCATTTGTTGATTTTTGAAAGCAGCTGGAGTTGTTCCATGTGAATGGAAACAATTATAAGGCTGTACAATCTTCTCTTGAGAGAAATGTATTTCTCTCTAGAAACCATCTTATCAATAAAATCTTTGCTTTTTAAAGAATTGATATATATTCTCATGCAAACTTTTAACCAGATCTTTGCTGTCCTCTCAGATCAAAAGAAATCTCCACTCAGATTATAAAAGAAAAAAAACCTCTCCACCTACTCAGGATTTTCCAAAAGCCTATGTATTTCATCCATTGAAATAGAACCTCTATCTATCCAAATTGACTACTAGAGCCAGTCATACATGTATTGATGTTTTAAGGAAACAATAAATGTTTGAGATGAGGGATATGCTAATTATCCTGATCTGATCACTATACATCATATGTATCAAAATATCACTATGTATAATTATTGTCCATTTAAAAAAATAAAAAAAAATTGTTTTATTTATTTTTACTTTTTTTTAATGGAACATTTCATGAATCTGCATGCCATCCTTGTGTAGGGGCCATGATAATCTCTGTATTGTTCTGAGAGTGACAGAAGGCAGCCAAATGCCCAGGCGGAAAGGGGAGGGTCCCCAGTGAAACCCCACCTCTAAGCAGAAGACAGTTTAAAGCCTGAAAGCTAAGCTTAAAGTTAAATCCTCAGACTGGATTGAGAACTTGTCTTCCTGTTTGGCGCACTTTCCTCTGACTGATCCCCATCCTTCACCTATTTCACGTATATCTACCCTTTCCTAATTGGTTTTCTACACTGTCATGCCCATCATTGAGTGTTGTCTTTGCTTTAACCTTTTTTGCATACTCACAAGCCAATCAGCATGTACTTCCCATCCTGTGCCTATAAAGACCCCAGATTCAGTTGGTAGAGGAGAAGACAGCCTGACTTCAGGGAAGAGACAGCCTAACTTTGGGAAAGATGACCTGCCCTTTTCATCCCCTCTCCAGCTCACCTCTCTGCTGAGAGCTCTTTTCATTGCTCAGTAAAATTCTCCACCTTCACCATCCTTTAATAATCCATATGACCTCATGCTTC